TCACAAATACAGTATAAGAATCAAACAAATTCAAATATACAGTGGTGCCTCGTATAACGTACTTAATCCGTTCCAGGTGCACGTCCGTTAAGTGAATAGTCCGTTATACGAAACGCATTTTCCCATAGAAATACATGTTAAAACATATAATTCGTTCCACAGCATAAAATAACCGTACTGTACCATAAAAAAACGAAAATGGAGCAGTCACCAATTATGCCGGGTAGTCAGATGTTGTGAGGAGGAGGTGGAGGAACACTTTCTTCACACATTCATACAGATACAGACTTTTTACACATTGCAGCGAGTCTTTTTTTTATTGTTTTTTAATCGGATTCAGATTCAGGAGAGGCTACTGGAGCTGGCAGGGTCAACTCCTCTTGTTCCATCCTTTGTTTTTTGGTAGCTGGCTTCTTGAAAAACATGTCCAAGGTGATCTGTTTCTCTCTCTTCTTCAACACCTGTTGGAAATGACGGGCAAGAGTGTCATTGTAGAGATCATTGATCCTGTTGGCCTCAGCTCTGTTTGGATAATGAGTGTTGGTAAACTCCTGAACCTCTCCCCATTCGACAAGGAAGTTTTTGTCAACTTTCACTCCTTCTGATGATTTCTTGCATTGTTTCAATTGAAATCACTTTTCTGTTGTTTTAGAAACCTTGATTTGCACAACACTTGAATAAATGTAAATACCCTGCACTGTGTTGATGTACCTAATAAACAAGGAAGCAAGCCTAATCCAACGCTCTGTACTTCAGATATACTGATAATATATTCTAATAACACTAATATACTATAAAAATAACATATTGTCATTGGAAACGGCAAAAGAGTGGAAACATCATTCGCACTTGTTCGTAGAAAGTCCATTGGTTGCATCACGTAACTGCCGAACGGAAAGTCCGTTGTCCGCAACCAGTCCGTTGCTCGAGTCACGTAACGGCCAAACAGAAAGTCCGTTATTCGCAGCGTCCGTTATTCGAGGCGTACGTTATACGAGGTACCACTGTATATGATTATAAAATCAGTTATATTCGTATGGGGTTTTGCGATATCCGTTGAATAAGTAGAAATAATATATATAAATAATAGTGTAGTATCGATTAATAAACTATACAAAGTTTCGAAAAAATTACATTAAAACTGCTTTTACGTAAAAAATAAATTCTACAACTTATCATTACTTCGAAATATTGTATAGTTATGTAAGGACACGTTAAAAATATTTATTAAAGTATAATTTAATTATAATTTGGCAGTTATAATTCTTCATAAATAATATAATAAACCGGCAAAAGTATTGTTTAATATTTTAAATATTTTCGTTCTTGAATCAATTCGGAAGAATTTTGTCAATAATATCGGTAATAATAATCACACTGGATTGAAATCGACTATTATTGTTTAAAATAATATATATGCTGCTTTACTTTTTAAAAGCAATCGTTTTTCCATGGAAAATATACACCGAATTCGGCGCTCGACCGTCCGAATTGATTACCTTTCTCGGAGTAAATCCGAAACTAAGCGCGAACCCTATTAACAATAGAAGAACGAGCCTATATTATAAGCTAGGCCACGCCTGGCAACGAGTTAGTCTACGCAACTCTTACTAAAGGGCGGTAATATCATCGAGCGATCAAACGAACAGAACAGTTTCACCGTGTACATATACACACTTTGATTAAGCTCTTCTGTAAGATAGAGAGAGATAGATAGTGACCACAAAGTCACCTTACATCTGTACAGAATTACCGTGATGATTCATTCTTAGTTCTAAGTGCATGTGCAGCCAGATGCACCCACCCTTAGTAATCCAATACCATAAGCCATTGTGATACACACTTGTTTGTGCTTATTGTAAGTTTTCAATTGTCATTGTTTCCAGTCAGGTAATTCTCATCTTTGATGAGTACATTTATTTTAAATGTTCTGGAGATTGCTCTTTAATAGAAATTTTATACAGAAAAAATTCTTCTGACGCGACCGGATATGATATAATTACAAATGGGAAAGTCGGTTCTTCGTTTTATATTTAACCCATTATGCGTTTCCTTCTTTGAGCTTCGTGTAAGAATTCCGAAACTTCAATAGCTCATACGTAAGGAAATTCGTAGAAATAAATCTGTAACGGGTGTTAAATATATACGAATAAAAACATATCAGATGTATAAAATTATACTTCATGATAACCCGGGATGTTTTTAATTTGAAGACTATTTACAAAAATGATAACATTTTCGAGACTATTCTTGTTCTTCATCACATTACCACAGTAGATCGACTTGAAGAAACTTCATTAAAATGACAATAATCAATGACTAAAAAATGTTTACACAAAGTTAAAACAGATCAAATCGCCGACCTTTTATTTGAGGATTCGGCGCTTTTAATACTAAAACAATGATAACGATTTCCCACCATCATCATCCTGTCCTTTAGCCTCAATATATAACTGGCTCTGTCGGTATCGGATATTCACAAACACTCATTTGCAGGAATCTTCAAATAAAACGTCGGCGAATTGATCTGTTTTTACTTTGTGTAAACATTTTAAAATCATTTATATTGCTTTATTTCCGAGAGAAGTCTTTTATATGTAATTATGATTTATAGGTTTATGGGCATTTTAATGAATTAAAGATGCGCCTATTACCCGTTGTATCTGCATCTCACAAGCTCAAGGTAAATAAAAACTAATATTTTATTTGTGAAAATTGCATAATTTTGTTAGCGTGACGTATTTACGTTTTCTGTTGTTACGTTGGCGATACGCGTTAATAATATAATATTAACGATTGTCGAGAGTTGATTGTCGAAGCTTTTCGATGCGAATATTTTTCTTCATTATGAGTTATTTAAGTAAGTTAATTTATGCTTATTCAACGTAAAATCATATTAAGTCTTTATATAATCTCCTAATGAATAAAAAATACGAAATTAATAATAATTTTTACCGAGACGTTTAAATAACCAGAAAAAATTATACAGTAAATTATAATAACCACCGCTGTTAGATTCTCTCGGCTAAATAGAAAAGATCTGAAGTAGAACTAAGTCGATGCCATTAATAACAATTAATTGTCAAGAATTACTACTACGTAATTTAATTCTGCTGTTTTAAAAGTAATGTAACGCATACAAATAAAATANTTCTGAATAATTAAGTGTAATTTACCATCTCGAAGTAATGAAGATTTTGTAGTAAATGCAGTTACAAACCACCGTAATAATTTTTTTGCTAAGACACTATCGTCACAGCTACTTTCCAGACACTTAATACCCACTAGGCTAGTTATTGCACGAATTTCATAATGTAACAAATATTTATTACGAGACTCAAGGTTGTCCAGGTTACGAGACTGCAATAACTAGCTTATTATAACGTACACATAGAGAACGACCGTTTAAACGAGTACCTGCTTTAAACCTGTTCATGATATTTGCGACATGTCTGAAGGCGATTATTTGATACCTTTAGTATTATTTTGTAACTATTGAAAAACTTGTAAAGTTTATATCACAATTTTAAAATTTAATTTTGCACTGTTTAGTGTGTCACACTATCTATTGTTACTTATGTATGTCCTAGTTTCACAAATATAATTCTTAACCATAATAAAGTACATAAACGTTAAGTGTATTTAAAAGAAATACATATTTTTAAAGCTTTTAAATGAGCAATGAACGGAAAATTATTTAAAATTTAAAACTAAATGATATTTTTTATACATTTTCCTACNAATACCCACTAGGCTAGTTATTGCACGAATTTCATTATTTAACAAATATTTATTACGGTATATCTTATTATAACGTACACATAGAGAACGACTGTTTAAATGAGTACCTGCTTTAAACCTGTTCATGATATTTGCGACATGTCTGAAGGCGATTATTTGATACCTTTAGTATTATTTTGGAACTGTTGAAAAACTTGTAAATTTTATATCACAATTTTAAAATTTAATTTTGCACTGTTTAGTGTGTCACACTATCTATTGTTACTTACGTATGTCCTGGTTTCACAAATATAATTCTTAACCATAATAAAGTACATAAACATTAAGTGTATTTAAAAGAAATACATGTTTTTAAAGCTTTTAAATGAGCAATGAACGGAAAATTATTTAAAATTTAAAACTGAATGATATTTTTTATACATTTTCCTGCGGAAAAGATCGCCTAACATCAACCCTAAACTCCAATTTTCTTTCATGTCACGTTCACTACACTTTGCGAAGGTTCAAGTTTCACAAGGAAGAATCAAAATAACAACCGTCGATTAGAAAAAGTTGCGTTATCGTTAGTAAGAATTGTCTCGATTTTAATATGGAATAACAGTATTCATTTACTACAGCGATTCTGGATTGAAATCCGTGAAACGACAAAGTCAGAGGAAAAGAAAAAAAAATTAAAAGTTTAGCAGAGAGTGGTTTCGATCCACCGACCTCTGGGTTATGGGCCCAGCACGCTCCCACTGCGCCACTCTGCTTCTTACAAATGATGCGAACTGTNTTAACCATAATAAAGTACATAAACGTTAAGTGTATTTAAAAGAAATACATATTTTTAAAGCTTTTAAATGAGCAATGAACGGAAAATTATTTAAAATTTAAAACTAAATGATATTTTTTATACATTTTCCTACGACCCTGCGGAAAAGTTCGCCTAACATCAACCCTAAACTCCAATTTTCTTTCATGTCACGTTCACTACACTTTGCGAAGGTTCAAGTTTCACAACGAACAATCAAAATAACAACCGTCGATTAGAAAAAGTTGCGTTATCGTTAGTAAGAATTGTCTCGATTTTAATATGGAATAACAGTATTCATTTACTACAACGATTCTGGATTGAAATCCGTGAAACGACAAAGTCAGAGGAAAAGAAAAAAAAAAAAAAATTTTAGCAGAGAGTGGTTTCGATCCACCGACCTCTGGGTTATGGGCCCAGCACGCTCCCACTGCGCCACTCTGCTTCATACAAACGATACGAACTGTCGTCCTTCCATACTTTCTACATAAAGTACAGTGAAATTAATTCTCTGCCAATAATGCAAATAAAATCTGAAATTTTACATAATGTAACGACAGGAACTAACAGCAAACTCCAACTAGCATAACTCGGTGTTTAATCTCACACTTTTAAATTCGGATGAAAAAGTGCAATGTACCAAAACTAGTGGAAACACAAGTAAAATGTCCTTTAATTTAACGGCCTTGCACATTGGAGACTACTGTAACACCTGATGAGACTCGTCCTTTTGTTAATCCCACAAAACGTTAAAGAAACGAGATTTTTGGATGTAGCCTACGATAATTTTCTATAGTATAGACCTATCGGCTTCATTATTTCTTTTATTGACGGATCGTCCCGTATAAACACACTCACTGCAATGAAGAATCAAGTCGAAGAAAACGCTCAAGCTCATGCTAAAGAAGATGCTAAATGTATGTGCAATAAGTGAAGAGCTAAAGACTGAAACAGATATCTCCTATGACGATGATTCTTCTCTGCATTTGCATCACGGTGACGACAATCACTTATTATTATGTTTTTATTATCAATCCATCTCGATTATATTATAAGATTTTGAGTCTACTTTTCTTTATATTTTGTAGTGTAAATGTAAAAATATTCAGATATTGTCTCTGTCAAATTTAACGATACACATCATCAACGCACATTAATTTTATTGATTCAAAGAATAAAACATAAATGTTAACGATTTTAATACGTTCAATAAATTTAACAATTCGGCCTAAATAAGTTAAAGCACAAACAATTTATAACACAAAACATCACACGAAGATAATTTTAAAAATTTTTTTCTTTTAAGCTAATTTTCTTAAATTTAAACAACACGCGGATCAACTCGATCGTTCCAGAAGAAATATAAAAATGTCTTTAAGAGATTGAAAAAAGGCCAAGCACTTCCACAAGTTACGCTTTTACGGTTATAACAATTATTATAAGTCCACAGAAAATCTGTCGACAAAACTTTAAAAGCATTCGATCGCTTCCAAAATGAACTGCGGGTTGCGTGCAGATTTATGAAAACGTCGGAACTCTCCTGTGACGAAATTCTTGTTGAAAAGATAACATGCTTTTATAAACACGATTTCGTCGATGGTTTTTCAAATCATTTCTTTTTTCAATGCACCAAGCAAATTTGTAATAAATTCTTATTTAACAGCGTAACTGATACAATTCATTTCTTCTAACACAATAACTTAATAAGGAGAAATTTTCATAATATTCAACGAATAAGAAGCGAAAAAAAAGAAGATAATTGGTCCTCTTCGCAGTTTCTCCTGAAAAAATATTAATATTATCATTCTTTTCTTAAAAACATTATTATTTAAAATTAAAATGCAAAAACTTGTTGATATTTTTAATTTATTTGATAACCATTTTTGTATAAATAATAAACAAATTTTGATAACATCCAAAGAATTGTTCTGCATTTGAGGGTACGAACAAACGGCCTCTGCTTGGCCAATGTTTCCCATAGATCCGTCGATCTGTGTTTCCCAAATTCCTGGGATCTTAAATTAGTTTCGAAGGATTGGCCTAGTGTTCGCAATGTTGGTTTATTTCATAATAGAAGTTTTTTTTGCATTATTTGTGTTATATCGAAATATAAACATTTTATGGAAAATCTAGTTTATAGACACACAGTCACATTGATATCGAATACTCTTTATATATATATATTGGTATGCAGACGTCACTCTATTTTGATGGAATCAATGGAATTCGATGGTTTGGAAACCCGAGTGCGGCTATAAATACTGTATATTGAACTTTTATGTAGAACATTCCACGATGTTATAATTTTTTCGAACGTATGTATTATTACTATTCTAATTAAAAGTAAACCCTCATAACTCTCGGAAATGAAATCTGCTGAATAGGTTACACAGGAAACTCTTACAGCTTAACAAAAACTGTATCGTAGCATTAGTTGTTATTCAAGTACGAAATTTCCTATAATTAATACAGTAAAGCCTATTTAAGAACAATAGCCACTGGAAGCCTCTGCTTTGGCAAGATTTTTTATTTACTAAATTTACTAAACGAGACTGTGGGCGTAAGAAAAGTGTTGCGTCGTCACAGCTGCATTCCAGACACTTTTGTGTCTGGAAAGTAGCTGTGACGATAGTGTCTTAGCAAAGAAATTATTACGGTGGTTTGTAACTGCATTTACTACAAAATCTTCATTACTTCGAGATGGTAAATTACACTTAATTATTCAGAATAAAGCCGCTGTTACAGCTTGATATGAGGCATTAATCGACGTTTTAAAATACAAATAAACACCGGCGAGCCGATTGCATCGAATTCCGCAAGTTACTGCTGGTTGTTAGTGCAAATAGGTAAAAAATATGTAAGAATGGAACACCCGTTTTTTGCATAATGTAAATGGCATTCGTGTGAGGATGACTGATAAGTGTAGAAAACCAGAAAGACTGAAGCTTTTCTCTAAGTGTAATATTGCTTTCCATTTTTTACTCTAAACGTCTAACACTAAGACAATTAACTTTATCGGTCAGTGTTTATTTCAGGACGTCGCAGCATTTGATTCCGTTGAAATACTGATATAATGACGTCGTGTTAATTTAAATTGAGTGGTATTTTGTGTGAACCTTTACGTGTTTAAGAAGTGATTGACATAACGTGCTAAATCAATTAACCTTTATCAAAGAAACGTAAAGTAAGAATTAAAATTCACACAATACTTTACATACCTTATTAAATATCGACCAGTTTACTTTCTTCGTTTTAAACACGGACACACCACAGATGTAAACTTGCGAAGAAAATGCCAAAAAATGTCCATGCAGCTTGTAGTTTCCTAGAAATAGTATAAATAATAATTAAATGAATTTCAATATAAAATTTTACAGTCATTTCGATTACAAAACAATTTCATATAATTGGCTATTTAATCACTTAAACGAGTTAAACTTTGGTATTGAAAGACAGAAAATATCATTTCGAAGGAAATTAAGTGACTTTAATGATTTCCATTTAATATTTCAATTTTTACAATGCGAATATATAAATTATTTTAAAACCGAAAACATAAATTTTACTCTAATTCAAGTGTATTTAACAATTTCTAACACAGAAACATCGAAATAAAATTAAAAGTACATATTTAGCAAATGAGAAAATAGTTTTATTCGTCTAAACTAATGAAATTTAGAAAATAATTTCTCACTTTTTCGTATTCTTCAATGGTTTCGTCTTTGGATAAAGATCTATCATCCTCATTTTTGCTATCTTCGCATCCAGTTAAGTAATGAAACTTCTGCTTTTGTTTCTGTTTATCATCATACACTAAAACAAAAAATTTACACTTCGTTATTTTTAAATTTAATTATAATAACATCAGTATATTTTAATTCCTAATTAGGCTCTTGGCAATAATACAAAGAAGCCACTTTTTGCTTTGCACGAGTCAAATTGACTCTCGAGACTTTAGGAATGGCGAAAAAGAAGAAACCACGCCATTATGTATAAGATTTACATGCAACCTTCATTCATAGTAAATATTCATTCAAAAATAAAGTGTAATTTTTAAAATATTAGGCAATGTCGAAAACCACAGATTAATTCAGTGAATTGCGTCTTTTGTTGCTGTCCGCATTAATGACACGAACATCAATATAATATTGTTTTGAGACAATAGAAATTTTATTAAAACAATATTCGAATTATTCTTTCACGTCACAATGCTACAGATGCTTATTTTACATTTATATTATATGTACAGTTACTGTACATCTAATACACAAAATTCGGTCAACAATATTCTTAGTGTAGTGAAATTATATAAAATATAAATATTCAGATCATACGAAATAATTCTGTTAAATGTATACTAATTGCGTATTGAATTTCTTGATGCTGCATTACACTTGGCTAGTAGCGTATTTTAAATAATTGTAATCTTACCTTTCTCACCTTCACTTTTGGTGCATTGAATGACTTGTAGTGATGTCGTATTCCTGTAAATAACAAAGTTTTCTTCCTCAACGTCATCTTTCGTGGAAGATATTGATGACCCATCACTTTCAACATTCATTTGTTGAATTTCGTTAATGGAGTCGAAGACGATATCATTGGAATGTTCACTGTTTTCTATTTCGCTATCTGCGTGGATGGAATCGTCGTCTTCTGATGATGCATTTTCGAATTCAAACTCGTCTTCTTCATAAATGATTTCGTTTACAAGAGAAAATCTTTCTAAATTTATAAAAGCCCATTTTAACGGTCTGTGAATGTAGATGTCGTCCACCGTTTCCGTGAATTGTTCCGTAGAATAATCAAAATCTTCATTCTCATGCTCATAGACATTCTGTAAAATAGCGAAAAATAAATATTTCTAAATTTGGAATTTACTTAAAAAATGTTAAATCTATATTCAACAATTTTATTGCAAATTAATGTATTAAAAATCGTATTGCATGCTTAATGAAAACATGGAAAGTAGAAAGTGATTCTGATTTCTGTTAGGAACAACATTCAAATATCAAAATATTTTTTAATTAATTGGCATAAAATTTATTTAATAATAAATAAATAACTTGCATCCTATTTCAATAATATATTACTCTAATTTATTTTTCTGTGATAAACTTTAAAAGGATGTAAGAATTATTTAGTATTAATATAATCTATATCAGCTTACGTTAGAAGAAAATCCTTCGTCATCGGAAATATAAGAAATTTCAGAAATTTCGTCGATTTTTCTTTCTCGATTTCTATTCGAGAATATTTCTGGTTCGATAATTTCAGTAATTCTTGTATGTTCGGTGAAATTTCCTGCATTATCCTGATCTAAGTGGGAAGAGGTAGTTTGACTATTGTCTTCGACATCAGTTGAAGAATCAAAAACTAAAATATTAAAGAAAACAGAGTAATTATTAAACTAGGTTAATTCAAATATTATATAACAATATTTTAACGTATGTTTAGAATGTAATTTCATAGCAAAGACTAGATATTTATAAATATAACAACACAATAAATTATTCGATGTGTTTAAAAAGAAATGCGTCAGAGAATTTTGTAGGCAAAGCATCAAGTTTAAGTTCTCGCTTTATGCTGGATAATTGAGCTGCAACTTAAAAAACAATTGTCGACTTATAAATTTTCACTGTTGTCTGTCAGACTATGAGTCTGTCTTTTTTCAATTTCAAGAACAGAGTTATTTATAAGAAAGCCGACAAATAATTACTTTAGGAGCAACATACCCAAAATAACTATATATGAACTTTGGATGCAAATTGAAAGTCACGTTATTTCCATTCAAAGATTTCCTACCGAATGCAGTTAGATAGATGACACTATTGTTAAAAAAAATTATTATATACAGGAACAGGTCACTACTAATTTGAGGTGGAAAGCGTATTAAAAATTTATTTAATTTCAAATATAATTAAAAATTGCAGCTTAGCTTGGTGAGGACGTCACAACAACTAATTGCTGGGTTTTGTTTGCAACACTGCCAAACGCAAATTAAATAAACAATACTCGTGTGTATTTGGTCGAATTATTTTCAAGTAATGTGAGCCCAAATCTTCAGCTCTGTAATAGGAATTTTGTAAGAATTGAACTCTTTCAAACTCGCAGACAACAAGAGAATGCAATATTACCGGTTTCATATTGTTAATTTAGAATTAACTTATATAAATAAGAGACGTAAAATCGAGATAAATGCTCTGAGTCTTACAACATGATGATTGTTTGATAAAAGAAAAAGAGAAAAATTGCAGATATTATCTTATCCTTAAATAAAAATGCGCTCTTATCGTTGGCAACTTGGCTTAATTACGAAAAGCCAGCATTATAGATGTTTAAACGTAAAAAGTAAAAACTAAATTTCTGTCTGTGACGCCTATTTAATTTTAAATTTATTGTCTAATAACAATTAAATCAAAAAATATTTTTCAAAATTACAAGAAAAATGAACAGAAAATAATGTATAATTTCAATTAGTAAAACAAAAATAATTACAACATCCGATAGCCTCTGAAAAATGTGTATTGTTTCCATTTGTTTAATTATGAAAACTGAATTTAACGCTATAAATGTATTCAGCGATGTCAATAAATAATATAATGATCCACAATATCGAATTGTTGGATAATTAACAATGNCAGACAACAAGAGAATGCAATATTACCGGTTTCATATTGTTAATTTAGAATTATATAAATAAGAGACGTAAAATCGAGATAAATTCTCCGAGTCTTACAACATGATGATTTTTTGATAAAAGAAAACGAGAAAAATCGCAGATATTATCTTATCCTTAAATAAAAATGCGCTCTCATCGTTGGCAACTTGGCTTAATTACGAAAAGCCTACATTATAGATGTTTAAACGTAAAAAGTAAAAACTAAATTTCTGTCTGTGACGCCTATTTGATTTTCAATTTATTGTCTAATAACAATTAAATCAAAAAATATTTTTCAAAATTACAAGAAAAATGAACAGAAAATAATGTATAATTTCAATTAATAAAACAAAAATAATTACAACATCCGATAGCCTCTGAAAAATGTGTATTGTTTCCATTTGTTTAATTATGAAAACTGAATTTAACGCTATAAATGTATTCAGCGATGTCAATAAATAATATAATGATCCACAATATCGAATTGTTGGATGATTAACAATGCTGAAATGTCATCAAAATTTATATATTAAAAACGAATAATTATTGTTTAATTTACATCTCTGAGTATATACGATCATTTCTACTTCAAAATACAATAAAATTATTATAATCTCTTATTGGCTATGTTTACTATTCGTTTCTTACTTATGTTTCAAATGTTGTCTTTTAGTTGATTTATTTTATATATTTATGCTTAGTAAAAACGTAAAATCTTTTATTCCTTATTTAAAAGACAATACCAGATTTAAAAATGGTTTAAGTAACAAACTCGAAAATCTAACAGCAATCTCAACAGTTGCAATGTATAAAAATAAATCCTAGTTTCATAAATACTGTATTTCTATTATAATCAAGTTTATACTGTGATAATATCAATATTGTGTACCTTTATTATGATATGGTAAACATTCCATCGAACCTGAGAAGAGAGGTGTCTCTGCTATATTTTCAGAAATAGGCTCACATACCAACACTTCAGTTGATGGCTCAATCTCGAAAGCTACCGATGATGACCTATAAGTTGGCACTTGTGCCGACGATGCATTGTTTGATTCATCTGTCATTTGTATTTCTTTTGACCAAGAACTAGGCCTATTTTTAAACAATGGAATAAACGACGCATATCCACCCACATCTTGCACTGGCCCATATTGATAGAATCCAGGCGCTGGCATATATTGCGGTGTTCCTGCAGATATCCCGTATTGTGGGATTTCAGAAGGCCCATTTTCGGCCATTTGAATCGGTGGTTTGTATCCATTCACTTCTTGCACTGGCCCATATTGATAGAATTCAGGCGTTGGCATATATTGCGGTGTTCCTGCAGCTATCCCGTATTCTGGGATTTCAGAAGGCCCATTTTCGGCCATTTGAATCGGTGGTTCGTGTCCACCCACTTCTTGCTCTGGCCAGAAGCCATGCAATTCAGGCATTTCAGTAGCAAGCCCATATTGGGGCATTTGTATACCATCCTGAAATAATAAGAATAAAATTGATTGAAAATTAAAATTTTTAGTATCACACTGAATGTTTCCTTTAAAATTCGAATTATTTTCCATTATAATTAATAACAATTATTTTTCTTACAATATAATAAAACAAAAGTATTTAACACGCAAATAGGATTGGGTTCGTACTTTACTAGGTCACCTATTTAAGATAGGAAAAATTTCTTAATCATCGGAATGTGACAATTAGAGGCGATAGAGGCGTAATGCATTTAGGGATTAGTATAAACTAAATAAAAAATTTTTTTCTTTTTATTTTTTTTTACCCTGGCTCTCATTTCATCTAAATAAATTAACTAGAGTTTTGGAATTTTCAGCCTCCATAAGTCAGAAAGGATTGGAAAATTATTTTTCCGAGTACTGGTCAATAGTACAAATAAGTAAAAACAGATTATCTGATTCCGTTGTATTTAAAATTGTTTTATTGATATACATTTAAAAAAAATTAAGAACAATAATTTTGAATTAACAATAATATTTAATTGAAGTATAATTTTTATATTTAAAAAAACATTTCTATTACTACACAAACAGAAATTTCATGCTAAAAATTATAGTGTTTGAGTATAAGTATATCTTACTGTTATTTCAANACATTAAATTGTTCAATGGCGTACAGAGCCGAAACTAGGATTTTGGACGCCTATGGACGTTAGAGAAATACACTTTGCTCGATATTTTATATCGCGCAGTAAGTAAGAAACTAAATACTGGCATGAAAGCTCATATGCCGCTCCTCCTTTAAAGCGTTTGTAAAAAAATTGAAGTTTTCATAATATAGAGTTTTCAATATTCCGAAATATTTTTCAGTCTTTACATATTAACTTTTGCTTCGTATTTGGCTTACGTAAGAAAATATTTTACTTCTGTTTCTGTTCAGAATGTTAGTTACTCGATTGTAAGTAATGCATAGATTAGAATTTTGAAGTAAACTTACCTGATAATTATTAAAGTAAAAGTTATTACCCAACGGCGAATAACTTCCAGCAAATAAATAATTGCAATCTGGAAATAATCGTTATATGAATATTATTAATTTTTAACACAATTAAAATATAATGATTTCTTTTAATGTTTGAATAAATTATAACAAATCTTCCAGTCGCGTTAAAACACATGCAAAATGAATTTGTATTAAAATGTCTTATATTTTCTGATGTTATCTGACTTATTTCCATTTTACATGTAACACCGGAATGTTGAATAAGAAAGAACATGGTAAATTATTATTTGTACAAAATCTCTTCAACGTTCAAAATGTCACAAACATAATTAAATATCATTAAGAACATTCAGAATTATTTCGTTGATCTCTCTCAATTTCTTGTGTGTTTAGTTTTTGCAGTTAAGAAATTCTCTTAACGCAGTTTCTAGGAAATAAATAAATAAACTAAATATACTTAAGTTTAGTCGTAAGTTTAATAAAAGTATTATAGGTGCGTAACACATTTCCTCGGTCATAATTCTTATTTGCTTTGTGTCTGGTGTGGCTTATATAATTTGCGCTAGGAGGTTTTGTTTTATTTTATTTGTATGCGTTACATTACTTTTAAAACAGCAGAATTAAATTACGTAGTAGTAATTCTTGACAATTAATTGTTATTAATGGCATCGACTTAGTTCTACTTCAGATCTTTTCTATTTAGCCGAGAGAATCTAACAGCGGTGGTTATTATAATTTACTGTATAATTTTTTCTGGTTATTTAAACGTCTCGGTAAAAATTATTATTAATTTCGTATTTTTTATTCATTAGGAGATTATATAAAGACTTAATATGATTTTACGTTGAATAAGCATAAATTAACTTACTTAAATAACTCATAATGAAGAAAAATATTCGCATCGAAAAGCTTCGACAATCAACTCTCGACAATCGTTAATATTATATTATTAACGCGTATCGCCAACGTAACAACAGAAAACGTAAATACGTCACGCTAACAAAATTATGCAATTTTCACAAATAAAATATTAGTTTTTATTTACCTTGAGCTTGTGAGATGCAGATGCAGCGGGTAATAGGCGCATCTTTCATTCATTAAAATGCTCATAAACCTATACATCATAATTACATATAAAAGACTTCTCTCGGAAATAAAGCAATATAAATGATTTTAAAATGTTTACGCAAAGTAAAAACAGATCAATTCGCCGACGTTTTATTTGAAGATTCCTGCAAATGAATGTTTGTGAATATCCGATACCGACAGAGCCAGTTATATATTGAGGCTAAAGGACAGGATGATGATGGTGGGAAATTGTTATCATTGTTTTAGTATTAAAAGCGCCGAATCCTCAAATAAAAGGTCGGCGATTTGATCTGTTTTAACTTTGTGTAAACATTTTTTAGTCATTGATTATTGTCATTTTAATGAAGTTTCTTCAAGTCGATCTACTGTGGTAATGTGATGAAGAACAAGAATAGTCTCGAAAATGTTATCATTTTTGTAAATAGTCTTCAAATTAAAAACATCCCGGGTTATCATGAAGTATAATTTTATACATCTGATATGTTTTTATTCGTATATATTTAACACCCGTTACAGATTTATTTCTACGAATTTCCCTACGTGTGAGTTATTGAAGTTTCGGAACTCTTACACGAAGCTCAAAGAAGGAAACGCATAATGGGTTAAATATAAAACAAAGAACCGACTTTCCCATTTGTAATTATATCATATCCGGTCGCGCCAGAAGAATTTTTTCTGTATAAAATTTCTATTAAAGAACAATCTCCAGAACATTTAAAATAAATGTGCTCATCAAAGATGAGAATTACCTGGCTGGAAACAATGACAATCGAAAACTCACAATAAGCACAAACAAGTGTGTATCACAATGGCTTATGGTATTGGATTACTAAAGGTAGGTGCATCTGGCTTCACTTGCACTTAGAACTAAGAATGAATCATCACGGTAATTCTGTACACGTGGAACGCGAAATCAGCAATTTTGTACTAAAGATAGTCGTTAATCCTGGATTTGTGTAATCGTCTGTCTATGAAATAAGAAAAAATAGTTAAAGTACATTGTTCGATTATCTGTTTTCGTGTTTGGAGGAATCGTAACGGAATGACGATCTAATCTCCAATATATTCTTAAAGATTCGCCTGGTATTCGCGGCTCGTTAGCTCAGTCGGTTAGAGCGTGGTGCTAATGACGCGAAGGCCGTGGGTTCGATTGCCACACGAGCCAGTAGTTTTATTTTGCAGATTGCGAACGTCGTAAACAGAGTTCACTACAGACTTTGTTTTTATTTTTGTTTGCTTCTCGACATAACGATAAAGATTTCATCAGTTGATCTGCAGGCTATTTATTTGGACACGTAGTGCCGTCTTTAATAAGGCTGTTTTGGTGAATGCGCACGACTTTCGCAGTAATCCAGAGTTTGGTTTCGTGATAGCCGTTCGCACGTCATCGAGTCCTTTATTTTCACAGTGGAATCGACAACGTCGCAGTTTCGGTAACGGAACGTTGCGAATATTTTTCGACGTACAGTACATTCGTAGGACTGGTGTACTATTATATATCCGGTTTTGGTTATGAGCGTTCTTACAAATTTTATAAATTTGCGTTTTATTTTACATATATAAATTTATAAGTTTTTCCACTTACTATTACATACCTTAAAATTCCGGATGATCTTTTTACAATGATGTGTTTAAAATCTTTGTATATAAGTAAATCAGATTTTACAAGAGATTTTTTGCGTTTTTGCGTGAAATCAAACATACTTTTAGACCCATCTAAAAATTTTCTAATTAGTCTGAAAACAGGGGGACCTAATTCTTGCATTCCGTGAAAACGGGTAAGATTGACTGTAGTGTAATAAACTTAATCTTTGCTATCGTGACTTTTTGCTCGAGCAACGCCGGGCTTGTCTGCCAGTTGTTCATATTTACTTTCATTTAACATTGTTTCTTATAGTTGAAATTTATACTGGTTCTTATCCATAATAATTATTTACTAAGTTTTATCAGCGTTTAAAATTATTAGATCACTATCATTTAAAAGTTTTCAACCCCCAGCTGAATATGGAATGAGAATCTTCAATGTTCGAAAAAATAGACCAAATATTTAAACTCTGCACTCTCGAAAACCCTAAAGCATAATTTGTGCTCGCTGGTAATTTTGAATTAAGTAATTTTCCTATTCGAATGGCATCATTCCTCTCTGCCTGTTGTCGGCAGAAAGATGAAGATAATTCGACCGAAAGTAATCATTTACTATCGTCTGGATGAGAGATTGATACCTAAAAAATTTCATTACATTTGCTCAAATCGTGAGAAATGTATAAACAATTAACAGAGCCCTTGTATATTCGATTCTCTTTATAATAAAAACTCAAACTTTTGGTACTATTTATAACGCATCTCAAGTTCGTTAATTAGTTATTAATTCATTTATTCATTTATTTAATATAGCAACAAAATCCCTGGAAGAAACGAGAATACCGTTATGAATATTGATAAAGAAAACAGGACAACTATAAAAATTATTTGTGAGTTATCCAGGGTTACAGAAATCCATGATTTATAGCGTTTAACAAAACAAAAATAACTAACAATAAAAATATTATTTAATTAAATATGACTCATCGTAACATTTGACAATGATTTTTATGGATAATGCCAAGTTGGCGTTTTTAAAGCAACATATTTAAGCCATCACCATTGAGTGATTTCAATAACAAGAAAAAAATATTTTTCTATACAATACACAGAACGTTAAAAGAAGCAGCTGTATCGATAACATTATTCAGGTATGAAATTTCATTAATGTTATCTAATATTAATTTATTGCCAATAATAAAAATTTATATCCTTTCTTCAAATTTTCATTCCGTCTAAAAACTAAAATTCTTCGATTGAAGATAATTAATTGCCAAACAATTTTGGTTGGTTTAACACTATAAATAATCATGGCGTTTTTGTCTGTATATTGAAACCTTTGGTGGTAACAGCAAATCAGTCAATATTGAAGAGTGTGAACTGTACGGTTATTCTATATAAAACTATTTTCTTGGAGCACTTGAAAAATATTAGTAAATTATTTAAGTAAGAAACAAGGATAGACTCTGAAAAAGATTGCACGTTTTAATATGTGGTCACGCGCACCTGCCACATATTAATTAAACATCCTGTAACTTTTAATTCATTTGTCTCTAAGTTCTTATTTTTGTTATATTATTGTCTACTTAGTATATTATTAGGACTTCTTATACTGGTTTTTTTACCAGGTAAAAAATAAAGATTGTTTTTTTCTGAATAAAACTCTTTTTTGCAGAAATGAAAACACAAGTATAATAACTCCTAATAATAGAGAGATTGCGGCCGACGTTTTCATCGCAAAAACGTATACGTCGAACGTTCAGCGCCGCTTTCCTGTAAGCCTAGAAGTTTGACAATGACGTTTGATACGTCGAGAATGATTCCACTGACGTTCCAAACGCCAGTGTCAAACTTCTAGGCTTACAGGAGGGCGGCGCTAAACGTCCGACGTACACGTTTTCGCGATGAAAACGTCGGCCGCAACCTCTCTAATATGTTAAGTCCTAATAGACAATAATATAACAAGTATCCTGTAACTTTGTCCTACAGTATATTGTTTTTAACGTGTGATTATATGAACTTTTATGATCGAAATTATTCGAAGAATCATCCGCCGAAAATTTTCGCTTACAAAGGAATCGCCCTGTATTTGTATTTCCTCCCAGAAAATTTATCACGCGACGTGTTTTAAGAAATTCCGGTTTCCAAAAAATACTATAATGCCTGATTATGATCATACAATTCCTATTATTGACTATTTTGAAAAATCAAGTAATCCGGAATCATTTGAAAATTATCGGATAACGAATTAACGAATTTCTGCTGCAGTTTTAGGGGAGACCGGGGCAAGATCGGCATGTTAAGCTTTACTTAAATTTTGTGTAATAAATACTGCTGTAAACTGAAAAAAAAGCTTTGCATATTGTCTATTGGAATGTTACCTTACTATAGAACTGGTTAAAATCAGTTTGGAAATAAAAATAATTAAAATAATTACAACTTTACAAGAAGAGAGAAATTGACGAAGTTGCCCCGGGTATAGGGGCAAGATCGGCAACTTCTCTCTTTTTGTAAAGTTGTAATTATTTTAATTATTTTTATTAAAGTTGCCCCTGGTATAGGGGCAACAGTAATGGGGCAAGATAGGCACGTATATAAAATTATGTTATTAACAATGTATAAGTTGGAATTCACTATTAAAACAAAGAAATACAAATCCAACACCCATTTAATATTATTACAACGAAATGCAAGTTCAAAGACATATATACATGAATAACAAATGCAAACATGTTTTCATTTATCATCTGTTTGATTTTTATCCTTTGCTTCTAATGTGGCTTTATGTTGCCGATCTTACCCCGCTAGTCATGATTTCGAAACATTAAGTACAACCCTGAGAACAGAATGCCAAGCCACGATCTGGCCACGTGAATAAGTTGAAGTTACATCCTTCTAACAGGAAAAGTAACTTTCGTTATCATGGAATTATAACAAAACCTGCCAATTCAATATAAATGGAAAAAAAATATTATATGGAATTGAACGAAAATGAAAATTTGCTTGATAATTCAACTACGCTTGTTGGAGAACAATAAAAACACTACACTCAACAAGCCACCAATAAAACTCAACTGCCTAACCTATAACCAAAGTCTCCTTTTAATTTGTTTTTAAAAAAAAGCGCTTGACAAACTTGCCCCGCATGCCGAAGTTGCCCCGGTCTCCCCTATATAACTTCAAATTTCATAACCTCGTTTAATTAACTCTTTAAGCCCCGATCAATTTTTGATATTAATGTAATTAAACTTAAAAAATACTTACAACTGTAAAAAAACGAAAGAAATGCGTTAATTTTGAAGAAAAAGCTTCAAATTTTATTTTCCTTTGTCTTGCCTTTCTGTGAAATTAGACACTGATGAGTCGTTGTTTACACAGCTGGATGACCTCGAGAACAGCTGGAGTCGGATTTCCCGGGACATTCTCACAGAAGTCTCGGGAGGCAATGGGTTTATAGTAGGGTGAATAATAGTTGGCCGTATATTTTAAAATATTTTTAAAAAATTAAAATTTTTATTGCAATTTCCGACCCCCCGACTTAATTAAACTTATATATAATAAAATCTATTAATTAAAAAAATTAAAAAACTATTGGAGGTCGTTTTTGATATCAGAAAGTAGCTTTAAATAACTTTACCGAAATAAAATCCGTGTACTACAACTTTAGAACGATTAAATAAATTTGATTAAAAAATCCCATTAAAAAACAATTAAGCGTTAATCGCGCGTCATTAAAGGTTGATTAAAATCGTGATAAAATTTTTTCACGCGGGTAAAAATTTTTTAAAAAATTTGGAGACCTAAAAAACATTCCAAAAATTCAAAAAAAAATTTTAAAATAGTTTTCCGTAACGCTATGTAACGTTCCCGAGATATCTCGGGATTGGGGCTTAAGGATTCTATTTAAATTTAATTTTTTTATGTATATTTTAATGATAAAAATTTTTTTAATATTTAAAGTATACTAAAAAAACAAAACATTTGGAACTGCAAAACAAGATTGATACATGAAAGGTAGAGCAAGAATACAAAACCTGAACAAATACTTAGTTTAATTGACTCTATATATCAATAGAATAAAATATTAGGAAGCAACATATAGTTTTATATTTATTATTATCGTAAAACGCATAATATAATTTATTGTTATAATATACAAATTAAAAATGCAGAAATTCTTGGAATGTTTTCTATCGTATAAAAAACAACCTGTCACTAATTAAAAAGCAAAAATCACCATTAAGATAGTGTATATAACGGAAGTAGAGAAGACCGGGGCTAGTTGTCACAGGGGGCATGTTGTCACAGTACAAATATCGCCTATATAATCAAAACTAAACGGTCACGTCATCTAGCAATAGGTTCATTTACCGCTCGCCTATGTCATCACAAAATTTGAATAATATCCGTTACGTAGTGTTCCGTTAGTTGGCGGTTAGGAAATTTACATCGAGTCGCGTAAATTTTGATGTCATGTCATGTGCAATTTGAAAATTTGCAATTAGTTAAAGCTGAGTAACAACTGTATTCCCTATTAGCTGGGCTCTTAATGTATACATTAGGAGCAATTGAATTTTATATTTTCAAATTAGAAACTGTGAATCGATTTATTAATGAAGTTTATTTGGGGCAAATTGTCACATATCAAAAGGGACAACCCGTTTTGTTTACAAACTTTTTATAAAAGAGACGGAAAGCGATGACGGTTTTTTAAATCATTATTGACAATATTTCCATACAATATAGTTGCAAAATTAGAAAGGGGAAAGCATTACTCCTATTAGTTTGTTTTCCTCATTTTTCCAGATAGTACGAAATTATAAAAGAAAAACTGATAGAAATGCCCCACTTGAAGGCATTTTACAAAGAGCTGCCAAAGCAGTTAAAAATGTCCAGCCAATTTTTATTAGGAAAGCTGCAGAGGAATACAATATTTAATACGGAACTTTAGCAAGATTCTGCAAGAAATTAACTGATGAAGAACATGCTTCTGGCAGCTATACAGTTGAAATGAGTTATAAAAACAGCAGGCAAGTCTTTACTAGTAATGAAGAGTTGGAGTTGGAAAAATATATTTAAAAATCTTCTGATATTTATTTTGAATTAACACTAAAAACAAGTACGAAAATTAGCATATGACTATGCAATAGCGCTTAACAAACTGTTTTCTCAAATCTGGAGTGACACCCTAATGGCAGGCCCCGATTGGTTTACAGGATTTCTAAAGAAGCATTCTAGACTATCGCTACGAATACCCCAAGCCACCAGTCTATCTAGAGCCACAAATTTCAATACGACAAATGTGATGTCTTTTTCACAAATTTAGGAAATTTATTTGATCGTTACCATTTCCGCCGCAGTGACATTTACAGCGTAGATGAAACTGGAATAACTACGGTGCAACGTCCTGATCGTATTGTTGCTAGAAGAGAATTTCGTTATATTGGTTCTCTCACCTCAGCTGAAAGGGGCACACTAGTAACTATGGCTTTTGTAACATCTGCTTCCGAAAACAGCATTCAGCCGTTATTTGTTTCCTCGAGTACACTTAAGAGACCACTTTCTACAAAATTCCTTTCCAGGTTCTATTGGAACAGCAAACCCATCCGGCCGCATGAAAGAGGAGCAATTTCTAACAATTTTGAAGCATGTCGTTGAGACTACTAAATGTACGAAAGAAAAGCCTATACTGTTATTGTTTGATAACCACGAGTATCATCTCTCAATACCCGGATTACATTTCTCAATGGTGTCGTTATTTTATCTTTTCTCCCACTCTGTAGTAACAAGCTCCAGTCTTTAGACAAGAGTGTTTTCGGCTCCTTAAAAAAATTTATCTACTCGGCATGTACTTCGTCGATGAAGACTAATCCAGGGAAAATTATGACATTCCTGGTATTGTTTCTTCAGCACTTCCATTAACAGCTGTGCCAAATAATATATTACAGTATTTGGATTTAGTGTGTCTGGAATTTATCCATTCAACAGAGATATTTTCACCGATCAAGACTTTCTTCCAAGCTATGTCAAAATTCGTCAAGATTCGTCAAGATTCAAAGATCCCTGCATCTGCAGCCGAAAACATTCCCATAGAACGATCAACTAACACAGAATATTCAGCAATTCATACAGATTGATCTAAAGTAAATAA